ATATTGTTTCGACATTCATTAGTAAAGACTTGAGAAACTAAAGTGAAAGGTATTATGGATTAGATTTCAAATTTACCTGAATTATTACCAGCAGTTTTATTTGGGACCATGTATTTTCCTCACCAATTATCCATAGACTTTTGCCATGTCGAATGATATGCTAAAACGAAGGAAAATTATGATCATTTTCATGTNCACCGAATTCAATAGGAAATAGTTCAGACCATGTTCTCTAATCCTAATCTAACCTAGCCTATCCTATTGTTGAACATTATCAAACTATTCTTGAATCAGATGCCGATGAACAATGAAACCAACAAATCAATCTGGAATATGATAGTCAATCGAATATTGTTTCGACATTCATTAGTAAAGACTTGAGAAACTAAAGTGAAAGGTATTATGGATTAGATTTCAAATTTACCTGAATTATTACCAGCAGTTTTATTTGGGACCATGTATTTTCCTCACCAATTATCCATAGACTTTTGCCATGTCGAATGATATGCTAAAACGAAGGAAAATTATGATCATTTTCATGTTACACAAAATGATAACATTACCTTTATTGATTTACTGGAAATGCTAATTATCACCATAACGAAACTGAAAAATTAAACTTAGAAAAGATGTGATTAAATGAAAGTTTATTTAAAATGAATTATCATTTGATAATTACAAACTTGAATAAATGCCATCGAGAAAATGATCATTTTTCGTCANGTTCCAAAAATTTGGACCAAAATCAATGATTAAAATTGGAAAAAATAACTTATAAAATCAACCAGAAAAAAACGTTCGAAAAACAACCGTCACCGAAAAAAGTTCGAAATAGAATGACGAGGACAAACGATTTTGACGACCGTTGAATAGAACTTTTGAAACTTGCATTCTGATTGGACGAAAGAAAAGTATAGAAAATAGTTACCACTAGCCGCCACTAGCTGAGAGAGAATTTTTACGCGCTAAAACGATTTACACTATCGAAAGTACAGGCCGTATTTGTATTGAAAATAGTTAGCATTTGACTATGCGCAAATGTTCATTTGTCAAACTTGAAAATTTTCGGAAAAAAATGCATTATAATCTTCCATAGATTTAACATTGGCAAACATTAGCAATTAATTTTATTATCATTATTTCCAACTTGTGAATTGATGTATTTCAGAGATGATCAATCCTCTTGAATTGATAAATCTGAAAAATATTTTAAAGTCAAAAAAAAAGTTAATTAGAACGGACATAACACGAATTTTGAAAATAGAAATACGACGTAAGAATTTCGCTGATAATTTGTTGAGAAGCGGAAAAGCGCCAANAATCTTCCATAGATTTAACATTGGCAAACATTAGCAATTAATTTTATTATCATTATTTCCAACTTGTGAATTGATGTATTTCAGAGATGATCAATCCTCTTGAATTGATAAATCTGAAAAATATTTTAAAGTAAAAAAAAAGGGAATTAGAACGGACATAACACGAATTTTGAAAATAGAAATACGACGTAAGAATTTCGCTGATAATTTGTTGAGAAGCGGAAAAGCGCCAAATTCATTCACAAATGGAGAAAGCGACCAATTTACCATAACAAACCTAACATGACCAGGAAGAACGGCAAATTTTATGATGATCATATCAAATCAAATGATCATATTAGAATTAGGTCGATAATTTGGTCAGAGGAAGAAAGCGCGCCAAATTAATTCAAGAATTGAAAAAATGACAAATTTTAACTTTACATAAACTAAATTCATGCAAACGCTGATACAATTCACATTGATCATACTAGAATTGTTTCGATAATTCGGTTGAAGGTAGAAAACGTGCCAAATTAATTCAAGNAATTAGAACGGACATAACACGAATTTTGAAAATAGAAATACGACGTAAGAATTTCGCTGATAATTTGTTGAGAAGCGGAAAAGCGCCAAATTCATTCACAAATGGAGAAAGCGACCAATTTACCATAACAAACCTAACATGACCAGGAAGAACGGCAAATTTTATGATGATCATATCAAATCAAATGATCATATTAGAATTAGGTCGATAATTTGGTCAGAGGAAGAAAGCGCGCCAAATTAATTCAAGAATTGAAAAAATGACAAATTTTAACTTTACATAAACTAAATTCATGCAAACGCTGATACAATTCACATTGATCATACTAGAATTGTTTCGATAATTCGGTTGAAGGTAGAAAACGTGCCAAATTAATTCAAGAATAGTGAAACGATAAATTCAACAAAACAAACCTAACATGAACAAGAATTTTGGAAATAAGAATACAATCCACATTGACCATATTAGAATT